TAATCAAATAAACTAATTAGATTCCCTAGCTTTCAAATCTCAATCAAATGGCCCCTAATCAATGCATATTATACAATATAGCACAGTATATACATACATTCACTAAAATCTCAATTAGGCCAATGGCATAACAAGGTAGAATTTAATTATATCATGATAATTAAACTTCTAAATTTCAAAGCAATTTCAAATGGTTCCAATTTAATATATGCTAGTACACAAGTCCTAGTTATCATGATTATCAAGTAAAAAACTTAATTGGGCCAAGGGAACCATTAAATAGATTTTAATTAATCATTTAATTTAAAATCTCTAGATTTTCATACTTGTCCAAATACTCTTAAATTAAAGTATGTTAACAAACATGCTAAGACTTAATTTAAAAGCATACTATAAGTTCATTTCATGAAAAGTATGGCCATGGGATTTAATCTTTCACCAAAGATAAATATTAAATAAAAGTGCAATTCTTATTCAATTAATCCCAATTTAATATATGTTAACAAACATATTAAAACATGATTTTCTAGCATGCCACAATTCCATTCTAAGTTATACACATCCTTGTGAATTAAATTTCATATAAAGAAATAATTAATACTAATTTTTCTAGAATTGATACAAGGCATGCAATTAAGTTGTATAATCATGCTAAACACTCAATACAACACACACAAAAGCCTAGAACATCCCCTACCTCAATTTGAGATGAAAATCTCAAAAGCTACGAAATGGAAACCGCTCCGAATCCGACGAAACTTCTAAGTTTTGTTGGGGACTACACCGTGCACATAACCCCAAGGAAGCCCCATCAAAATCACAACTTGACTTCAAACCCAAACTCAAAGAATGGTTAGAAATGGGTTCTAATAAGGGTGAAAGAAGCGCGTAGTCAACAAGAACACTAAATGTAAAGGCCCTTCTATGTTCTGACGAAGGAATGAAGCTCAAAAGAGGAGAGAGAATGTTACAGCCTCCCTTGGGCTGCCATGGAAGCTTCAGGTCGTGCAAGGGAGTGGGGAAGATGAAAAAATAAAATATCTCACCCCCCTTTTATAGAAATCTCAAAAAGTGCCCCGAATGGGCCCCGCTAGGTCCGAAAAAGTGAAATTTGAGCAGACGCGCTCAAATGACAAAACGCTATGAACAAAAAAGATTCAAAATAAGAAAATATAAACAACGGAAGAAATGGCATCAAAAAATGAGTCTTGAGCAGAAAGTTATGCCCCAAACAAGTTTGGCGCTAATTGGGGCCAGAAACCGTGAAACTGGAAAACAATGACTAGAAGGAATTTCTAAGAGTACACGACCCGATGAAAAGTGAAAATGAATCCCGTACAAGGATTCAGGCTCAAAACAAGGCATTTAGCAATAACTTTTACTAATTGCACAATGGCCCCTCCAAAAAGTGAAAACTGCACTAATGGCCCAAAATGAAAATATCTTCCAAAAATATTTTCTTAAAAACCCCTGAAATAAAATATCTTCAAAAGATATTTACGAAAAATACCCCAAGAAAAGAAAATAATTTCAAAGAACTTTGCATCCATGCCCCTATGGACACCGGGAGCAATCAGAGTACTTTCTTGCAAAAGTAAAGATACGTATTTAGTGGAAACCACTCAAGATAGAGATACATGAAGTTAAAAACCAACTCTGAACACAAGAAGTATGATTACACCAACAAAGTGTCAAGCGGGGAAAAGACAAAATAGGGAAAATGACGAAATAGGGAAAAAGACCAAAAGTGAATAGTGTCAAAAAATGAAAAATGTGAAAATGACTCGATCCTCAAAGGAAGTTGTTAATCCACAGAAAAGAGTCTCAGAAATCACTCCAGAGCACTTGAGATGACACTAAGCGAAGAGGAATTGAACTCAAAAAGGAAAGACAACGGAAAAAAAATATCCGTGAAAATCCGGGTCATTACACTCAAGATCATGGTTAGGGTGTGTATATTGCCGAGGATGGATAAATGGATATAGTAGACATCTGGGTACCCTGGTAGGTCTAGATACACATGCCCACTTTATGTATGATTTGTATGTTGCCTTCTATTCAGGTTGAGACAAACCTATAGTCCAGTGAGCGTCCTACAGTGTGCATATATATATTTATGGACTATTTAGCTATTGTTGAGTTGTCTAGAATGTATCTGCGTATCGAGTCTCAATTTGGATTGTAGTAGAGTAAAACTTGTTCATGGGCCTACCCACTATTATTTTTCAGGTGTTCGTCAGTTCCAGGCTTAGAGCTTATTCGTGCCAAGCAGTGACAGTCACTCACTCTTTCGACTACCTAGGACTTTTATTCATGTTTTAGTTTTGGATTTTCTTTCAGTTCAGTTATTTGTTTCCAGTTGGATATTATTAGGGGTCCACTAGATGGATTCTAGAGTTGTAATAATATTGGAGGTTTTGAAGTTATTGGATTATTTTATTAAAATTTTGAGGATTTATTATTTAGATTTCTTTCAACTTATTTAATCTTTATCCTTTAAATTCTTCTTGTATTCTATGCTTGTTTATATACTTAATTGTTTGGTATCTCTCGGATCTGTGCTCGAACTTGATAACCCGTGGCTCTAGAATCGAGGGGTATTACAACCACTTCGAGATGCCCCACGGGCGAAACCCCCTTCTCTTTAGCTTACAAAACCAAAACCGTAATCCCAACTAAATTGGTAGCCCTAACTATCCGAAGCTTAACATGGGGGCAGGGGTTAAATAACTAACTTCTAGAACACAATATTGACCTTTTGGAGGAAAAAAGAGAAGCAGTAACCATACAGCTAGCTATGTACCAACAGAAGTTGGTAAATAGCTATAATAAAAGGGTCAAACATAGAGGCTTCAACCTAGGAGACTTGGTGCTTTTGAAGTTAGAGAAATATGCAGGCAAATTGGAGCCCAATTGGGAAGGTCCATACCGGATCTCGGATTTGATTAGGAAAGGAGCATACAAGCTTCAACACCTGGATGGCACTGAAAATGGCCAAGCTAAGGAATGCGATAAATTTGAAAAGGTATTTTCAATAAAGTAATCGTACAATGTTTTCCAGTACTTTATTTTGGCAAATAAATAAAGTTATCTTTTGTCTTTTGTTGGTCCTAAAGTCCTTTATGCAGTGTTTTCCTCTTTAATGTCAAATATCAGTGTCGCAGTGGTTTCTTCATTATTAATGTTGCTTGAAATAAGTCTCAAGGGTTGTGTGGTCATTTTCACATCAGTGATTCATACTCCATATCTATCCTGAAAATACATCACAGTATACTAGCTTGTTCTAGCTGAAATTGCTGAATTTTGTGTAGACTTAGTTCATAAAGTTGTCTTAGATGGTTCCAGGGGTAGCATTGTCATTTCTCACCTATATTCAATATAGATACGTATGTTCAAGATGTTGCATTGCACTAGAGTGATCTTATTGAAGCTGCATTGTCACTTATACAGTCTCAGGACTTTTTCTTAGCTGAGAAGATATAAATCTGTTGTAAGGGTATCTTAGTAATTCTCCTCTTTGCTCATGTGTATGTCACACTCCAGTGGTCCCAGAGCAAGTCAATATGCAAGAATATTGCATTTCTTAGAGGTTAAGTATTGAGCTGAATGGTGTACACTGTCCTATAGTGTGTATGTGTATTTTTCAATGTATATAGTGTCAAAAGTGCTGAGGTGTCCTTCAGTAATTGGCTGTTACTCCTGAAAATATCTGCATTGTGCTTTATCAATGATTGGCTTGAGGTGACAGCTGTATTCTGAGAGTGTATGGAGTTTAGTGCACTTTGCGGTTCCATATATATATGCTATTATAGCCATTTTAGGGTTTTAAGTCTTGAGAACAAAACGTGATATTGAGTTGCAGCTTGAATTATCTCGAGAGCATTGAATGAATTTGATTTACTGAGAGTCTGATGATGATTTATGCTATAAAATCTCACTGATACAATCTTTGCTGAGGTGCTTTACTGAGAAAATGTTGCTGCTGCTGTTTTTACTGTTACAAAGGCTGGATTGAGTAGTGAAATTGAGTTCAAAGGTGATATAGTCTAGTTTGTAAGCTGACACAGGTATATTCACTGATTTACACTTGCTTAATACAAAGTGATGTTGAAAATCATGCTGAACTCATATTTGGACAATAATCACATCAGTTTTACTGAATTTAATGACTGATTCTTGGATTTCAGTACTAATTGGTTAAGCCTTGCCATATTATGTTTTTGATCTTCTAGCAAGTATATTTTGATGAATCTAGTCTGTTGAAATTAACTTTGTGAGAGAATTGTGGTTAGCTGCAACTTTCAGTATTCAAATCCTTGTTTTAAACTGAGTTTTGTTGAATCAAGGCCTGTTATGAACTTTGTGATTTGCTCATGCTACAATTCATTGTTCAATGTTATGGTCATGAGTACTACAGTGTATGAAGACTGAATATGATGCTATTAATTGATTCTCGAAATGAAATTCCCATTTTACCCCTCAAGTGCTGATTGCTGCAAATAGCTGTTTTGAAGTGGTAATTTGGAATTCTGAGGTGTCTGCCTTATTTCAATTGAAGAAGGAACTTGTGTTTGTTGTTTTACATTTTGTATGATGTATTTGGTGAGTTTAGAGAGCTTGTTTGGTCCTGGCAAGGTTGCCTAGGACAGGGGGAGTATGTGTATACACTTGTTGAGCTAGTGTGTGAGAATAGTGTGTGAAAACTACTGTCTACTTCTGTGACAAAGGGGTGTGCAGAGAGTGAGACAGCTGAGTGTGCAATAGCTTGCTTGCAGCTAGTGGATGATTAAATTGGCATTGGCCAAGAACCAAGGTTTTCCCTGATTAAGAGGGTTTCCTTGTAAATTGTGCTGCAGTGTTTATTGCTTACTGTTTTGATTGTTATTTTGCTGTTCAAGGAAGAAGGTTTTGACCAATTCACCCCCTCTTGGTCCAACAATTGGTGTTAGAGCTTTGGCTTGTTGTGTACGGTTCTAGCAAGCCTGCAGTTAATCTTTGAAATGGGTGAAGGCCAAGCTACAAACAAAGCTCTAGGGTTCAGTGGTGTGAACTATGATTCATGGAAAATTAGAATTGAAGCATTCTTAATGTCTCACTCTTATGATGTTTGGCATGCTGCAGTAAATGGAATTGTGGTTCTCAATCTTGAAAATCCCTCTGAAGTTGATAAAATTGCTATGGCTAATGATGGTAAAGCCAAACATGTTCTTTACTGTGCTTTAAAGCAACAAGAGTTCACTAGAGTCAAGAATTGCAAGTCTGCTAAAGAAATATGGGACTCTCTTCAGGCTGCCCATGAAGGAAGTACTGTCATTAAAGAAAACAAGATTCAGCTCTACAAAGTTCAATATGAAGCTTGTACGATGGAGGAAAGGGAAACTGTAGCTGAATATTTGTTTAGGATCAATGATATTGTCAACAATATGAAATCCCTTGGTGAAGACATTAAGGATTCAGATGTTTGTAAGAAAATTCTCAGGTCTTTTACACCTAGATTCAATGCAGAGGTTACAATCGTTGAGGATAAAGACTTATCTCAAATGAAGATTGATGATCTACTAGCCTCTCTTATAGCCTATGAGATAAGAATTGGAACTCTTATTCTTCAAAAGAGAGAAGCTGCACTTCAAGTCAAAGAAGTTACTGAAGAATCTGATCCAAAGTCTGAGGAAGATGATCTTGAAGAGGATGAAGTGGCCTATCTGTCAAAGAAGTTTAAGAAATTCAGATTGAAGAAGAGAAGTCAATCTCAAAATCTAACTTGTTATGGATGTGGCAAGCCTGGCCATTATGTCGCAAGTTGTCAACTTCAAAAGGACAAAATCAGAGGAAGAAAGAAGGGGGAAACTTCAAGGGAATATTTGGAAGAAAGGCCCTCTTCACAGATTGGGATTCTGTTTCTGAAGAAGAAAAACCTAAGGAATCAAAAGAAAATGAGTGTTTGTTCATGGCTACTCTAGAAACACCACAGAAAGCAGCTGAAGTTGAAGAAGACAGTGAAGACAGTGACTCAGAGATTGAAGAAATTCTTGAAGAATGTGAGAGACTTGCTATGAAGTGCAATCAACAAAAGTCTCAGCTGAAAGTCGTTTGCTCTGAGTTGCAAAAATTCAAACAACTTCTTGTTAAAAATTTTAATCTTAAGCTGTCTACCTTATGTTCAATTTCTCTTATCTTCTCAAGTCTAAAGAAGTCTCAATCCAACACTGAATGGTCAACCAAGTGATGCAGAGAAAAGCTCTCACTAATTCTTGAAGAAAGGTCTTTGAAAATGGTTGAGATTTGGAAGCAATCCATAAAGCGAATTGGGAAGACTGGAATTGGTTACATTTGTGATACTGCAACTAAAGTGAAACAAAATCACACTGTATTTGTTAAGGCATCTTTAGGAGAAGTGTATGCAAGATTTCCAATCATAAAACCCTCAAGAATAAAGCATGATTCATTTGACAACTTCTAGAGCAAATCAAGGTTAAATGAAAGTGATTTTATTACATCAACCTTCAGGAATTACAAAGTTACCAAAATGTATGTAAAGAAGTCAGACATAATTCTAGTTCAGAAAGTTAAGGATAACTGATCTCTTGTGAAGTCTAAAATGATGTGGATACCAAAGAGAATGAATGCTGTAAGTATGTTGGTGTATACTGCCTTCAAAGCTGGTAATACAAATGACAAATGGTATGTTGACAGTGGCTGCTCGAGACACATGACAGGTGATGTTTCCAAGTTTGTATCACTAAAGAACTTTGATGGAGGAAACGTCTTCTTTGGAGACAATCAAAAGGCCAAGATTATTGGTATTGGCACTGTGACTAAGTCTGATGAACTACCTGCGATTAAAGAGGTATTACTTGTTGAAGGCCTCAAACATAATCTCCTAAGTGTAAGACAACTATGTGATAATGGGAAGAAAGTCTGTTTTGATAAAGAAAGATGCAATGTGGTTGACATTGAATCTTAAAAGGTTCTATTCTCAGCTTGTAGATCCTCTGGAAATGTATACACAGTCTCAGAAGAAGTTACTTACTGTAATTTGACCTCTCTAGATGAAGCTACACTGTAGCATAAGAGACTAGGTCATCTTCACTCCAAAAATCTAATCAAAATCCTTAAATTGAAAGCTGTTAAAGGTCTACCTGATTTAAAATTCAGTGACAATCATCTATGCAAAGCATGTCAGTAAGGCAAACAAACTAAAGTGTCATTCCCTTCTAAAGAAATTAACACATCCAGAGCTCTTGATCTGATACATATGGATCTCTGTAGTCCTACCAGAACTACAAGCATTGGTGGAAGTAAGTACTTTATGCTGCTTATTGATGATTTCAGTAGAATGGTGTGGGTTTACTTTCTGAGAGAAAAGTCTGAAGCTATAACACACTTCATTAAGTTTGTAAATCTTGTTGAAAATGAAAGAAGCTGTACTGTGAAGAAGCTTAGATTTGATTTTGGTTTTGAATGTACAATGAGGGAATTTAAAAGTTACTGTGATGTAAAAGGTATCAAGAAAGAATTCTCAGCTGTAGCTACTCCTCAACAAAATGGGGTTGTGGAAAGGAAGAATAGAATTGTTCAGGAAATGGGAAGAACTATGTTACTTGAAAAAGGTCTTACAAAGGGATTTTGGGCTAAAGCTATTAATACAGCTGTGTATATCATCAACAGGGTGCTTTTTAGACCAAATTCATGTAAAACTCCTTTTGAACTATGGTATGGAAGACCTGTAACAGTTCATTATTTTAAAGTGTTTGGCAGCAAGTGTTTTATTCTTAATCACATAGAGAACTTAGGAAAATTTGATTCCAAGGCTGATGAAGGGATATTCTTAGGGCACTCTACAAAAAGTAAGGCTTATAGATGCTACAATCTAAGATCCTCCAAGGTTATTAAATTAATTCATGTTAAATTTGATGAAACACCACAGTTCAGCATCAATGATGACATCAATTCTACACCAGGATCAACTGAAGCCATTCGATCTCATTCAGTTCAAAGGTTAGATAAATCTATTAAATCTACTTCAGAACTTGATGATCATAGAGAAGTTACTTATCCAAGGTTACAAAATAGGTTCAAGCTAAAAACATTATTGGTTCTCCTTAGGCTGGTGTTCAAACAAGAAACAAGAAGAAACTCACTAAATTAGAAACTGATGATGGAGAAGAATACAGTCATTTTGCAATGTTATCCTCTATTAAACCAAAGTCTTACTCTGAAGCTCAGAAAAGTGAAGATAGATGGCTGCTATGAAAGAAAAGCTTGATCAAATTCACAGGAATGACACTTGGACGCTGGTTCCTAGACCTGTAGCTAAGAATGTTATTGGTTCCAAATGGATTTATAGGAATAAACTTGATGAAAAAGGGACAATTATCAGAAACAAGGCTAGATTGGTGTGTAAAGGATATTCTCAACAAACTGGTATTGACTATAATGAAACCTTTGCCCCAGTTGCTAGGATGGAATCTATTAGAATGCTCTTGTCCTTTACTTGTCATAAGCAAGTCAAAGTGTATCAAATGGATGTTAAGTCTGCCTTTTTGAATGGAGAGTTAAATGAAGAAGTATACCTGGAACAACCTGAAGGTTTTGAAGATCCTAAGTCTCCCTCCTATGTTTTTAAGCTAAACAAGGCCTTGTATGGTCTCAAACAGGCCCCCAGGGCTTGGTATGAAAAAGTGCATTAGTTCCTAATTGAACAAGGTTTTCATAGAGGAAAAGCGGATAGTACTCTTTATGTCAAGCTTCATCAGAATCAATTTCTTATTCTTCAAGTCTATGTTGATGACATTATATTTTGTGGCTCTAATACATCTTTAGCATCAGAGTTTGCCAATTTGATGAAAACTAGATTTGAAATGTCTCTTTTGGGTACTCTTAGATACTTCTTAGGTCTTCAAATTCATCAAACCTCGAAAGGAATCTTCATCTCTTAATAAAAATATGCCTTTGAGTTGCTTACAAAATTCAATATGACTGAGTACAAACTTGTATCCACTCCCTTATGGCCTAATTCCAAACTGTCTCTTGAATGTACCACAAAATCAGTTCCCTTTACTCTTTATAGGTCTATCATTGGCAGTCTTTTGTATCTCATAGCTTCAAGACCTGATATCATGTATTCTGTGGGGTTGGTAGTAAGATTTCAAGGCAATCCTAGACTCTCTGATCTTCAGGCTACTAAAAGGATTCTGAGATATGTCAAGGGTACTCTTTCTTATGGTCTACATTATATTTTCTCATCCACATTGCCTATCACAGCCTTCTCAGATACTGATTGGGGTGGATCCTTACCTGACAGAAAAAGTACATCAGGCTGCTGCTATCTCCTTGGTTCCAACTTAGTTTCTTGGTTAAGTAAGAAGCATGATACTGTCTCCTTATCTACCTCAAAAGCTAAATACATAGCTGCTTCTCAGGCTGGTTCTCAACTTCTCTGCATGCACACTACTCTTGCTGATCTTGGTGTTCATTTCTCAGGTCCTCCTACACTCTACTGTGATAATCAAAGTGCCATTGCCATCAGCAAGAATCCTATAATTCACTGGAAGAGCAAACATATTGACATCAAATATCACTTTTTTCGAGACAAAGTTCAGAAAGGCCTCATTGACATTACTTACTTACCAACTGAAAATCAACTGGCAGTTATCATGACAAAACCTCTTCTCCCTCAACATTTTTTAATCCTTAGAGCTCTTCTCAGGGTTGTTCCACCCCCTTTCTAAGCCTCTAATTGTTGGTCCTTCTCACCTTTTGTCCTTCAATGTTAAAAAGGGGGAGAATGGATTGAAATAAGGGTAGTTTCTCAGCTATCCCTTCTTTTACTTGCTGCTATTGATTCACATGCTTATTATTATTTTGGTTGAGTCTTCTTTGTTGAGGTCTTATTTCTTGATTGAAGTTTTTGTCATTAAAGGCAAAAGGGGGAGATTATTGGTCCTAAAGTCCTTTATGCAGTGTTTGCCTCTTTAATGTCAAATATCAGTGTCGTAGTGGTTTCTTCATTATTAATGTTGCTTAAAATAAGTCTCAAGGGTTGTGTGGTCATTTTCACATAAGTGATTCATACTCCATATCTGTCCTGAAAATACATCACAGTGTACTAGCCTGTTCTAGCTGAAATTACTGAATTTTGTGTGGACTTAGTTCATAAAGTTGTCTCAGATGGTTTCAGGGGTAGCATTGTCATTTCTCACCTATATTCAATATAGATACATATGTTTAAGATGCTGCATTGCACTGGAGTAATCTCATTGAAGCTGCATTGTCACTTATACAGTCTCAAAACTGTTTCTTAGCTGAGAAGATATAAATCTGTTGCAAGGGTATCTTAGTAATTTTCCTCTTTGCTCATGTGTATGTCATGCTCCAGTGGTCCCAGAGTAGGTGAATATGCAAGAATATTGCATTTCTTAGAGGTTAAGTATTGAGCTGAATGGTGTGCACTGTCCTGTAGTGCGTATGTGTATTTTTTAGTGTATATAGTGTCAAAAGTGCTGAGGTGTCCTTCAGTAATTGGCTCTTGCTCCTGAAAATATCCGCATTGTGCTTTATCAATGATTGGCTTGAGGTGACAGCTGTATTCTGAGAGTGTATGGAGTTCAGTGCACTTTGTGGTTCCGTATATATATGCTGTTATAGACATTTTAGGGTTTTAAGTCTTGAGAACAAAAAGTGATATTGAGTTGCAGCCTGAATTATCTCGAGAGCATTGAATGAATTTGATTTATTGAGAGTTTGATGATGATTTATGCTACAAAATCTCACTGATTCAATCTCTACTGAGGTGCTTTACTGAGAAAGTGTTGCTGCTGCTGTTTTTGCTGTTATAAGGGCTGGATTGAGTAGTGAAATTGAGTTCAAAGGTGTTATGGTCTAGTTTGTAAGCTGACACAGGTATAATTCATTGATTTACACTTGCTCAATACAAAGTTATGTTGAAAATCATGCTGAACTCATATTTGGACAGTAATCACATCAGTGTTGCTGAATCTAATGACTGATTCTTGAATTTCAGTACTAATTGGTTAAGCCTTGCCATATTATGTTTTTGATCTTCTAGCAAGTATATTTTGATGAATCTAGTTTGTTGAAATTGACTTTGTGAGAGAATTGTGGTTTGCTGCAACTTTCAGTATTCAAATCCTTGTTTTAAACTGAGTTTTGCTGAATCAAGGCCTGTTATGAACTTTGTGATTTGCTTATGCTACAATTCATTGT